GAGATATGCTTCGATCGGAAAGGATAAATGATTTTTAACACAGACAACAACTGATATTTTCTTTTTTTTTTAATTATAACTCGACTTTAGATTGTAGCCGTTGCCGTTAACCTCAGATAACTCGAACAGAGAGAAACAATTCTTTATTTGCTGTACACATTATCAGGCAAGTTCACCTTCTTTTGTTTACATGGTCAATCATCTTTTCGATAAATGTTGTACGAAGCAATAGATAAAATCTTCTTAGAAGAAATTTATTTTTGAGAATTCACAGAAATATGTCGCAGTGCGTCTAGATTATATCATCATGAGAAATGCAATATGCTTTGTTATTTTAAATTCTCATTTCGATCAAAGATTCATTCTTATCTAACGAAAATACAAAATGATTTTACGGCTCTTGCAAATAGAAACAAAGAGAACAACTTAAGTAGATGAAATCTTTAAAAAACCTATTGATACGAATTTGTAACCCATATAAAGACGTTAAGAATAGATGAATCTGTTAAAACGCGTAAACTCTTTCTCATTTTACGTTTTTCTACGAATTCTTCTAAAGACTTCTATAATTTTAAAATGTACAAATTTTATGATTTTATTTCTGTTAAGATTTAAACGCACTTTTAGCTTTTTTTGTTATTCATTAGTCTCATTGAACTGACACCTTTCTGTGTAGTCATAGGCTCTTCAAGCTTTACCAGACATATTCTGGTGTGATCCGAAGCTTTCTATTCTCAGTTAAGCGCATGTGACGTCTTCTATGCATTTCCCTGAAAATTTACTCGAGTCATAGTATATGTGATCAACATCCTGATATAGAGATGTAGGAGATAGAATTCAGTATATATTTCTAATACCTTCAATACCGTTACATCTCCTATATCTCTAACATACTCTAGAATAGATATATTAATATGTACGTAATCCATACAATCACATATATAAATAAGAAATAGATTGGGTTTATCAGAAGTACAGGGGATATTAGAACTATAAGAACAATGTTTAATTAATGAATTAGACTATTCAAATAGTGGAACAATTTCACAGGAGATATGCAACAAATAAAACGAATGAAATTTCACGCAAGTGTTTGTATATTTTCTTCTTTCTATTTACTTGAAATTACTTCACCTAAATTTCGTCTTCCATAACAATATTTTCTTTCGGATATTGAAAGTTTTTCTATGCTTCTTGTTGAAATGTGTACGAAACTCGATACTATTTTATTACAACCACTGATTATATATTATAACTATCACTTGCTTAGTCAAATGAAATCTATTCATTTAAAGAAGATCGAATTTCTCGTTAGAGTGAATATTCTTCCATTCAACAGTTATACATCATTAGTACAACATGCCAGACTCTTACAATATTGAGGCTATACGGCGCCACACTAGCTGAGCGTGACACGTAAATAGGCCAACAGACCATAGCACTATCCTCTATATTTTCTATATATCCAATATGTCGTATATTTTTGTATCGCTCATATCTTCAAAGAATGATGTAAGAAATTGAATGCGTTTGTAGGAAAATCAATAGAATATATATAATCGTCCAACACATTTCACATAATTATGTCCGGAAATTTATTGTCCATACCACAACGCATCCTGATTTGGGTCGAAGTTTTAGCGCTTAGTCTTATGGATCGCTGCATAACCGAAACTTTTCGTGTTTGCATTCGCAGATTGATGAGCACCACGAGACATTTTGCCGTCTGTCTTTCGCATTATAGTGCGATGTCATACTTCATGATACGACATTTTCGCACGAGATACTATCGCATCGATACGGATGCGTAAAATTATTTTCTTTTTTTTTTGAAAATGAGAATGAGGGCAGAAATACATACGCAAAGAAAGCAAGACCTAGCAAACTCTAATAGATTCTTAAAAGTCTAGCTATATCTTAGTAGAGCTTTCATACATACTAAACCACGATATATCTTAACAGATCTCATATATAAAGCTTTCATACGAAAATATATAGAAACTTCGAATGCTTTAGTAATTCATGTGTCTCACAAATTCTATGATATCACATTAATGAAAACTCACTAGTATGAATAAAATAAAAACTTTTTATTGTCATTAGACCTGTGACAGCTCATAGGTTTAAGAACTGGTTCTTTTTTTTTGAGAACTGGGTCCACAGACCAGTTCTTTTATAAAGAACTAGATCCATCTACGAGTTCTTTTTTTTAGAACTGGGTCCATTGATCAGTTCTTTTTTCGAGAGCTGAATCTGGTGACCGGTTTTTTCAAAAGTACTTGCTCTATCAATAATGGTGATCTGACGATCCACTTAGTACTTGCTCTAGTTGTCAAAACAGAACTAATTACCATATCTCATGCTTTTAAAAAGATCTGTTGGCCATATAGGGATATACAACTGACGCTCATAAGCATAATGTGTATAATAACAACATAATACAGGGTGTTAAATAACCTTTACGTCCCCCTCTACAACTTAAATTATCAATGATATCACAAATTTATTTTATACCAAATTAAAGCGAGTCAAAAACTGGATTTATTGGTACTACATGATAAAGATGATGTAGACCTTTTAATGTCGAACTTAAGATATTTTAAGAAATTTTATACTTTTTTAGCGTAGATAATTAAGGTACTAGTAATTCAAAAATGGAGTAAAAATTTTTTCTTTGACAGTTTTACATGGTTCGATAGAGCTCGTTGAGCTTAACAAAACTGTATATTTCAAAAAAAAATTGAGCCCTCTTTTTGTGATAAAAAATTAAAAAAGTTACTTGGAAAATGTCAAAAAATGTCAAAAAACTCATTTTTCTTCATATGAAAATAAAACACTCACTTTTTTTCATTACTTATGTTACCTCAGACATTTTGAAATATGTTCATTTGATGCTGCGTGAAAAACTGCATCGAAGAAAAATGCTTTGAAATGTCTGAGGTAGCATAAGTAATGAAAAAAACTAAGCTTATTGAAAAAGTGAGTGTTTTATTTTCATATGAAGAAAAATGAGTTTTTTGAGATTTTTTGAGATTTTTCAAGTAGCTTTTTTAACTTTTTATCACAAAAAGAGGGCTCAATCTTTTTTTGAAATATACAGTTTTGTTGAGCTCAACGAGCTCTATCGAACCATGTAAAAATATCTAAGAAAAAATGTTTACTCCATTTTTGAATTACTAGCACCTTAATTATCTACGCTAAAAAAGTATAAAATTTCTTAAAATATCTTAAGTTCGACATTAAAAGGTCTGCATCACCTTTACCATATAGTACCAATAAATCCAGTTTTTGACTCGCTTTAATTTGGTATAAAATAAATTTGTGATATCATTGATAATTTAAGTTGTAGAGGGGGACGTAAAGGTTATTTAACACCCTGTACTTTTTCGTAAAATTTTCAGCTCTGTTACGATTTGTATTTCGATTTGAAGACTCAACTCATAGACTAAGCGAAAAACATCGTTTTTGGGATAAAACTCATTGTTCTGAAATGTTCGACATAGACAATAACCTATTTTCTATACATTTTCTATGTTCCAAGAACACATGCGAGCTTATAATATTCGATGCAGTCGCTTCCAGTAAAATTGATGCCCTGTTCAAGTGATAAATGATAGAGACCTGTGGTTTGCGTAGTTTTATAGAGCATGATCCAGGATATCAAATTCACTGTTGAATAAGAAATATGTGACGGAAATGATGAGAATTACAAAGCTTAGAAAAAATTCAATTAATTAAACATATCTTTATTTGATACTGACCCGTTGGTTTTTATATGGAATTGGTGTCCAGATCCTACTCTTTCGAATGGTGAAAATCGCAGCTCTCCACCTCGTTCCTATCAAAAGTTATTCGAAAAATGGTAATCTGCCTTTTATTTTGGATTCAATAATAGTAAGTCGTAAGTGGTAAGTGCTACCACTTATCAGAAATAGCAATATTAATGTCATTAATTAAGTCCTGTTAAATAAAATGGTCCACCTCTGTTGAATAGGCTTTTTTCTACTTTTGGCATTATTCTGATAAGTTACTCACCACAACGAAATAAGCAAAAATCCAATATACAAATAATTTTTTTTTATATTATGAAATTCTTTACTAGACTTAGTGTTGTGTATATGACACTGCCTCCTCGTCTACTTAATTAATTCGGTTTTTTCCCCTTTGCAACAAGGTAAGCTTATATATTTTTTTATCCTTTGCTATTTTACCTTCTTTTTTATCTTTTTTCCCCTTAGGTTTTTTTCCTATCATATTCTATCTACATAGAATGCGCACGTTGTGCACAAAATGATGTACATGAGTGACTTAAGCATAGCCAATATTGCATATTAAATAAAAACAAAACATATTCATACATTAAAAGATATTAAAAGGCAAAAAGAAGTAGAAAAAATCAATTTTTTTTTTATTTTAGAATTCATAATATATTATATTCATATACATAAACAAAAAGGAGCAAAACAAAAATTTTTGACAGTTATTTTCAAATAAGTCGATATCGGGCTATTACAATCGTACATACTCATCTTTATATACTTTGAACTTTTTGTACTTGAAATAAATCTGGTTTCATTATATTAGGAAATCCAAAGAGCTGAATGCTTAAAAAGTAACTATATCTAATTTAGTACATATGATAAATACGTACATGATTGTTTATAAATTAATACCTCAATTTGATCAATGAAATTTCTTTGCACAACGCGCATAATTTATAAATAATTCAATGGAGATATTATAATACAAAGGTCTAAAAAAATTCTCCATGTCTGTCAGCATAAGAATGATATTAGTGCTGATAGCTGCTGATGTTTCTCAGTAGTCTATAGTAGACTGTTGCATATTACAAGAGAAACCTTAATGAGAGTTTGAGAGTGAATATGAGTATTATAGTCAATATTTCTATCGTCCGACGACGCACTACACCTATACTTACACCTGTAGACACTTAAATGACATTTTCTTCACTTATTATTTTTTTCTAGGCCGATTCGAAGATGGTATCACACAAGTTAGCATATCTGCATTCAATCGACACTGTATGTATGAGGAGAATGGAAACGACGAACTCACTATAAAACTCGCGCTATTATTATAAGAAGTTCTATGTATTTTATATTTTAAGAGATTTTCTTTCTATATGTAGTGGTTTCTCTCATGAAAAATTTTAAATAATTAAATAATAGTAAAAATACTTTAATTGATTTAATAGAAAATTTATTTAAGATAATAATAAAATTACAATGAAAATAATAAAATAAATAAATATAATTAATACAATAAAATTAAATAAAATTAAAAAAATATATTTGATGATGTTTCGGTACAAAATTGATCTTCTTCAGAACTTGTTGTTATACACACTATTGATGTTCAAAATTGTATATATATGTTGCAATAGAAATTAAAATTTCATTTTCTACTAGAAGAAATTCAAATAACACGTGATTTTAAACTGTACTTGTAGAAAACTAAAATTTTAATCTCTATCATAGAAGAAGTTTAAATCCTACTAGAAACTTATATTATGGAACTATTGTAATTTCTACTGTAGTAGAAATTCAAATACCCGTTTATATTGATGATATCTTGACAGGGTAGTAACAGTGGTGATAATGATAGTTCAACATCAGACAGACATAAACAAATTCGAGATAAAGCTGAAAAATCATATATGAAAAAAAACGCTGAAAGACAAAAATTATACGATGATACTCAAAAATTACGACAATATCAAATCGGAGATTTGGTTGGTTTAAAAATTGATAAAGTTGATAGAAATAACACAACACCAAAATTTTTACCATGTAAAGTTATTTCGATAAAATCATTATCTGATAATAGAAATACCTATCGTCTTTGCACAAAAAAATGTGTTCTCTCTTCAACATATGATGTTAATAATCTCATTGATTTAATAAAATGTAATTTTTTGTAATTACGTTCTATTGATTCTCAGCTATTACCAAAACAAACATTTATTCAAGCTCGTAAAGATTATGTTAGTAGCGGGATTAATCCAGGTGTAGAAGCCTGTACTTATAATGGTGAGTGTGCTACAAAAAAAAACTGCCCATGCAAAGTATTGAAAGTACCATGTGGTATAAAATGCCATCCTGCTAAAAAGAAATGTCGTCCAAATATATAGGCGTAAAGTTTTTGATATGTTCAATCATTTCTTGTGCTGCTGTCTATATTACTAATAAATAATACGTATACTTCTGTAGATCATTATCAATATAAACAGGTATTTAAATCTCTATTACAGTAGAAATTAAAATAATTCCATCATATAAGTTTCTAGTAGAATTCAAAATTCTTCTAGAGTAGAGATTAAAATTTTAGTTTTCTACAAGTACAGTTTAAAATCATATGTTATTTGAATTTCTCCTAGTGGAAAATGAAATTTTAATTTCTATTGCAACATATATATACAATCTTGAACATCAATAGTATGTATAACAACAAATTCTGAAGAAGATCAATTTTGTATCGAAACATCATCAAATATATTTTTTTAATTTAATTTAATTAGTTTCATTGTAAATTTTATTATTATCTTAAGTAAATTTTCTATTAAATCAATTAAATTATTTTTATTGTTATATAATTATTTAAAATATTTTATGAAAGAAACCACTACATATAGAAAGAAAATCTCTTAAAATATAAAATTAATATGTCCTACCTTAACCGATTTTGAAGTTCTACGAAATTTAAAAATGAAAATACTATTATGAGATACGGAATCTGAATAAATATATATCAGTGTGAAGTTAATAATTAAGAATATATCTAAATATCGAGTATGTTGTTTATGCTTGATTTTAAGATTTTCATCACTAATTGAAGACAAGAGTAAAGCATTTTTGATGATAGAAATCATATTAGATTTTTGTGGCTTACTAAGATTGAATAGATTAGAGCAAGGCTTGAAAAAATTTTAATAAGACTCGAAAACGTCAATTAAACAAGATGTTTGAGACTTCGGTACAAATTCTGCTTACTAGTGTTCGTACACTGTTTGTCATATAAGTCAAACTACTAATGGATGATAGACGAGTGACTAAATGAAACTAGTGCCAAAAACTCAATGAAACTTTTGAAGATCTGATTCTAATCTTCACCTTTCTAGAAAATTTTTCTTAGCCTCACGATCTGTAAATAGTTAATCATACTGTCGATCAAAATTTCGATTCAAATAATTTCAAATTGAAGGGTAAGTCTTTTTTTTTCAGTCATATCAAAAGGAAAATGTTGGAGCAGTAGTTTATTAAATCAATTGAGAAGAGCGGTCATTTGAATAATTTTATGGTTATTGATATTGTACCATTGATCTTTATGGAAGTGTTACACATTCTGACATTTTATTTTTTTCACATGAACACTGTCACTTATCACTTAGCCATGTTTGATTCGAACATGACCTATCACCTAAAAAAAATCTATTGCTATTTTTCAAGCAATTTAAATCAAAATGATCGGTTGTGACGAGTTTTCTAACATAGTTGTTGTTTTTTTTTGTGAAATTCTGTTTGTTTTTAACTGAATATAAATACAATACTGAAAATCAAAGTACTCCAAGCTAATTTCTGTAGACTTGGGAAAAGATCATAAGTTCGTGCTTCAGATCAGAATGTGCCTGAATCGACACGAAATCGACTATTGTTCCATATGGATAGTCGAAAACTACGAATCTCATCTTTCTTTCGTTGGAAGATGCTTCTTGGGTGTTCGAACTATGAAATACATAGACAAGTCTAGCCCATTCGTTTGATTGAAGTTGTTTGAACAAAGGTATTCCACCATTAGATACTCCAGACGGACTTTCATGAGACTGAATGGGTCAATATTCAAACTTAATGAGCTGTTAGTTTATAACTTTGTTTGATAATCGAAAATGAAAGAAAAAACTGAACTTAATTAATACACGAATAACTTTCACTTTATTTTAACAGATTTAGATATTTAATTTTCATGAATAATTGTTGAAATCTTCTCACACATCAAAATTCCCATGCTTTCTGGATACTAAAATCTATTCAAATATATATGACGTAATTTGAAGAGTCGACAGTATGAAAATTTTTAGTCTGAAAAACTAGTTTTCAGTTTGTCAACTATTATTGTTGAGAATCATTTTTCATTCTACATCGCATTAATGTTTTATCGAAATCGTTCCTTTACTAACGATAAATCTGATCGTAAACATGTTCTAATAAAAATATGGTGCGCAATAACTTTGTTGGATGTAATAAAAAACAAAATAACGTGTTCTTAATGTCGTAACTCACCTATAATGTAAAAAGTAAAAAGAACATGAAAACGATAGAGTAGAATGCGATAATTCAAACATTTTTCTTTCCTGTCACATGGAGCGATCGGTCGATTTTCGTCGAAGCAATACTTCTTTCAAAAATGAAACAACCATATTTTGATGGTTTATATAGATAGGCAACTAAAAATATGTTTTTTAGCTCTTGATAATAACTAATTTGTTTTGATTTTCTCGAACATCATTTTTAAGTGTGGAAAGATGTTTTACTAGACTTGCACGTGCACTCTAATGTAGATTTCATTGTTTTACAAAGTAAGGATCCTTCGAAACTCGTCGAAATCATTCGAACGTATAGAAAAAAACATGGTCATAGTTCGAATCGGTGAACTGTAATGTTTGGCATCTCTTAACTGTATGTTTAAACGATGAAGAATGAAGAGCTTGACGAATGCTTTCGAAAAAAATTTATCAATATATTATATTCAGAATAAGTAATCATTTTTTGATTATTTCTAGAAAATGACGAAGAACATGTTCGAAATCTAAAAAAAGAAGATTATTTATTGCATACGATTATTGATTTAAGCGCTAATCTCGTAGATTATATTGAATAATGATCAATCGAAAGACTTTAATAATAATGATCATTCAATCTTGTACTTATAGCAGAAAACTGCTTTCTGAGTAATTTGTAATGTTAGCTACTGGATAATCGATGATATTTTGAATGTTGTCAATGTCAATTACTTTCGACTATTTTAAGTTCGCCTTTTGAGGATAAATGGATCAAAGGGAATTTTATTGATTCAAAAAAAGAAAAATAAAAGACGACATTTCTTAATTATGATAACTACGAGCTTTTCTAAATACAAGAAAAATATTTCCATATTACATGCGGTCGTTCCCACTCATCCTCGTGATCAAATATCGACAATTTGGTTACTATATATCGTATGACAAGCGAAACAGATCCTACCGAAAATGAAGTTAGATAGTTCATAGATGCGCATTTGTCGACCGCAGCACGAACAGGTGTAGCTGAGCTCGCCTGTGATTGGAATTAGGTTGTCCATTCGTTAAGTATTCAATGAGTTGCATCGATTCTCGGTGTATATAATTACTGGTGCGTTATTGAGTATATCGTAGAAAATATTAGATCAAATATATACAAAAGAACACAAAGTGACAATTCAATCATTTATTTTTTCCACAAAATAAAGCTATGATTCATCATTATTGAAGCAATACTTTATTCAGTCTTGCACAACCCTATTCTCATGATTTATGCTAATGAGCGAATAAAAATATGCCTTTTAGGTCTCAAAAATAGCAAACTTATCGTAGTCATCTTTCGTCGAATAAAAAGAGATTCTACTAATAGACTCGCGCTCATTTCTTATTGCAGATTTCATTATTCTGAAATAGGAATGCAGCTGCACACATAACAATATCATTCACCTGTATGAACAATACGATAAAAATCGTATGAACTTGAATAAAATCTTTGACAATTATTGACCGCATATTTATACAAATAATTTACGAGGAATTTACTGATGCTTAAGCAATTAATGATTCCTGTGTTGTAATCAAAATATAAATGATCTCCGGCTGTTGATATGTAGAGCAAACATAGGAAAGATGACTACTAGTAGAACAGGAAAGTAGAATAATACGTGTTTTTTTTTTTGAAACCTTGTTTTTTATCTGTGATACTGATATGTTTAGAAATAAAAATGAGTATCACTGCATTAGACCTTCAAATATCATGCAATATTAATTTTGAAACTAGGTTTAATTCAATTCAAACTTGTTGATGGGAGTCATAATTGCAATATGTCTACTCATCGATTTGTCTATGAAATTCTTACTTATCCTCATTTTATTAAATATCATTAATAATGTAATCGACTATATTGGTTGAATAGATGATATCATATAAAAATATATTACATCTACACGTGGTTTCTATTTTTGTTCGAAAATAAAACATCGTATTTTCTTAGCTAAATACTATATCACTATGAAAACCACATGATAATCAGCTCTTTTTAGAGATATACCAAGAAAATAAGTATGATTACTTATATGAACTGTTTAAGTGATGTAGTGAACATGTTTAGAGCTTAATAATTTGTACTGAGTCATGAATAGGATCAAGGAATATTCACTCGGACTACTTTTCTTTTGTATTTCTATTGTTGTTGGAGACTCTTTATACAAGAAAAACATTATGTAAAACAGAAGAAAAGAAAATTATAATTCATGATACGATTTTCATATTTACAAGGTATAGGATCGAATACACAAACATCCGATGCTACATTATACAAAAGGGAACGAACTGAAAAAAACTAATGCAAGCTGACTTTAACAATCGATTTTCAATGGACTTCTTCGGTCTTCATAAATTGTTCTTGAACATGTCACATACCAAATAAAACTATCTAGAGTGTGGTCTATAGTCTATTATCATGAACTCACGTACAGAAAATTATATGAACGTGTAGGTGTGAAAGAAATAAAGAACCTCACTTACGCCCTTGTCAATCTTGATCTATCTTTCGTTCATGTGCATCCAGACTATCATTATTTATTAGTTTGTATCAATGGAAATGTTCTCTTCGATCAACATTTAATTCATATGACAAAATTAGGGT